AAACAGAAAAGATATTGAGATTTTTGTTTCAGCCAATCAGAGTGAAGCGCACGTGCATGCGCGTGAGTTCATGCTAATTTGACAGTGTCACATTATCTACAGTATTAATATATCTTTATATAATGAGTTTCAAATCATTTCATCAAAAAATGGAAAAGTTGTAACTATATTAAGTATATCAGTCAATTCACTCATTTCACGCGCACGCACGTGCAGGTGTATGCGCGCAAAATGACCTTCGTTCCGCACACCTACACTACACACCTATTAACCCTAAAAAGGTTTTAGCTCAGTTGGGTGAACAGTTTCTGAGAACACTCGCGGACAAAAAAGTACCGGAGAACAAATAAGAAAAAAAATAATAATAATAATAATAATAAGAAACAGAGTAAAAACAATATGTTCCCAAACTCCGTTTGGGGAACATAATAACTAGAGCAAAGCTCGTTGCAAAGCAACGAGTAGGTCTTCCGTCCGGTTTTGACCGCAAGTGCCGGAAATGACGGAACAAAATAAAGCAATGAGCTAAGTAGTCTCCAGTGACTTTATAATTTCAATTTTGCATCAAAACCTTCAAAAAAGCCATTTTTTGCTACTTCCGGTTTGACCGGAAGTGACGACGACGGACGGAAAAATTACTTTTTATGCTCCCAGAGACAAATGTAACCCAAAATCTTGTCGAGAACGGCAAAAAAACGCGTTTTCCGACTACTTCCGGTTTGGCCGGAAGTGACGTCACCGGACGTATTTTGACGACTTTAATAGATTAAGCTTGAAATTTTGAACAACTTTGCTTCTTTGACGTATTACAAATTCTCAATACTTTTTGAGATATAAAGAAAAAACTTTCGGCCCCTCTCAGCCCCTGATTTAAGGGGCGAGCCCTTTTTCCGAGGTATCAGTTGAAAGATCTTGGAATTCTATACTTTTTTTGTTCTACATGTTTTAACAAAATATTTCCAGGTAAAAAGATATCGTAGAAAAAGTGTCAAAAATTTTGAAATTCGTGATAGGACTTTTTTCAGCCCATAGCGAGCGCCGACGTGCGGCACTTCCGGAGAAAGAGAGTGGTGTGTGACAAAAGAGCACACGTTGCTCTATCATCGCTGAAAATGTCATGTTTCTGTCTTAAGGCATTTTCGAGAAAAATGATGGACAATGAGACCCCCTGAAAATCACTAAATCGCGGAAATCTCAAAACCGGAAGTGACGTCATCAAAACAAAAAATTATATATCAGGTTTCTTTGATGTTCTATCAGTCCTGAAAGTTTCATGAAAATCTATCCAGCCGTTTTCGAGAAATCGCGTGCACAAAATCGGTAAGAAAAAAAAACAATAATAATAATAATAATAAAAATAGTGGAAAAGAAACCTAAGAATAACAAGAAGGTCTTCCGCTGAAGACGGAAGACCTTAATAAGAAACAGAGTAAAAACAATATGTTCCCAAACTCCGTTTGGGGAACATAATAAGAAACAGAGTAAAAACAATATGTTCCCCAACTTCGTTTGGGGAACATAATAATACTAACTTGTCACGAAGGTTTTTTTTTTTTTAAGAAAGCACGGCTAGTGGTGTAATGTACATTTCTTATCACTGGATTCATTGGATCTTCTTTAAATTACTGCATTGTGCTTGATTCAAAACACACTGTAATAAACAATGTATTGCATGGAAGTTCGAGAGACATTAATATTTCTCCACCCCGCTATCTTTCCAAATATCTTAGGAAATCTGTATTTAGGGATCGAGGGAAAGTCTTCTATTTCTTCACAATTAATTAATATTATTCTATGTATCACACTGTTTATCACTTTCTGCAGTTGACTGCACTTACTGTACAAGTGTCTGATTAAGGGTTTTGAAACAAAAGACTGTCCTTGCACATCTTTGGACATTTTTTTTAAAAAAAAAAGCAGTTTTTAAACATTGCACTATATTTTCTTCAGGTAATTGTTACTGTTACTCTTAGATTAAAAATGATTTTACCCATATATTTTTGAAGGTCGACTCTTTGCAATTCGTTATAGTAAACATGCAAGATTGTATTTTCGCTGGCATATTTCTTACCAATTGTTAGGGCATCATTTGTATACTAAACAAGACTAATCCGCCTTTTAAGTTCATAACTTCGTGACCAGTCAGCAAAGGGTGCTTACACCTCTTAGGCGCCTGATCACACCTCCTTGATTAGGCACTATTAATGATTCATGGGGAGATAACAAGACCAGCTAGGACATTCACTCAGACCATTATAATCCCCCCTGACAGACCTGATCACTAAGATATTTCCTCTGTCTCAAGCTTCACTAATGGAGACTATCTCTGTGTCTGTGTTCCTTCACATCTTGATAAACTCGAACACTGATCGTCAATGATGGATTGAATATGTAACGATAAATTGTATTTCTTTTTTGTGTTACATTGAAATCTAAATACAGAGGAATACAGCAGGAAAATGATGTACAAATGTAGTTTGCAGGTCAAAGATGAAAAGAGAAATTAAATCTGCATACATTTTTGGATTGAGGCTTATTGTAAATGATGCAAATATATCTTTTTTCGAATAGATGTACATATAATAATATGTTATGTTTGTTGTTTAACTTACATCTCATTGAATTTTCATTCAGACGCCACCACTTGCCGGTGGAACGCTTAACGCTTTACTCTATACTCTGGAGCAGACGCTCTTACCACTACACAAATGGAAATATCAATGAATGTAAATTTTAAATAGAATTCAATATATATATATATATATATATATATATATATATATATATATATATATATATATATATATATATATATATATATATATATATATATATATATATATATATATAAAGCACTAAAAATGACAAACGACATTTTTAGTGCTTTATATAAATTTCCATCCCTGACCTTGTATCTACTTGGAAGATCCGACATTTAGGATATACAGTGTTGTTGGTTTTATATATATATATATATATATATATATATATATATATATATATATATATATATATATATATATATATATATATAAAAGCACAAATTACAACAACTCTTAAACTAATATAACTGCCCTAAGTGAAGGAATATTAATATAGAAAGCACAGAGAAATTCACTTTTACAAGGATACTTACTTCCTCCCCAGCCCGGGGTTGAACTCTCGACCTACGGAATCTGTCTCCTAGCAGTACAAGAACAGCGCGTTAGACCGCTCGGCTATCTAGGCAAGTTAATTATACCCCCGCTTGAAAAGTGGGAGGGTATATAATAATCGGTATTTCCGTCCGTCCGTCTGTACGTCCGTCCGTCCGTCCGTCTGTTACGCTTTGGGGTACCCATCTCTTATCTGCAACTTCTCTCATACCACTGAAGGAAATTTAATGAAACTTTCACAGATTCTTAATTACATATTGCCATTGTGCACCTCTTATTTTACTTTTAAATCTGACATATATTTTTGATTCTCCAGAGCAGAACATGGACACTGCCATTTTTTTCTTATGGGAGACGGGGGTATCATTTAGTGAGCTCATTGCTCACAGTAATTCTAGTTAAAACTTGCTTTCGATGCCGATGGAATTCTCACAACGCTGCCCTACACTACAGGGTCATTGAGAATGGAAGTGAGATACAGTTATTTGGACATAGTTTTTAGAGGATCGTTACCAATACATGTTTGGATCTATTTACTCAACATGTCATGATTTTTTCCATCTAGGCCATCTGTCACTCATGTTCAGAATTGTGCTAATTGCCGTTGATATATTTTATTATTTATATGTTACATGAATCATTGTTAACTCCTAGGCTTCGGATTGTTCGGGTGCAATTTTTGGATTTCTAGAATTCACCCTACCGACCTAAGTTTATAATAAAAAGCTATTCCATCGTTAGCATTTTTATATTTTATTGTTGCCGCAAAGTTTGTCACTTATTTTCCCCGGTGATAGATCCATTATATACCATATAAGCCGGAAGTAAGCAACATAGCTCCGACGAGGAAGAAGACTGGTATTGGTAAGGAAACACAGATTATTTTTTCATATTATTTGCAGCAAAAGAGACCTGGTTTTAATTGTAAAACTGATTTAATCTTTAAATAGACATGTACACCTATATCCATGATATGAATAATGGAAATACGACGGTACACTACGGCACTTCAGATTCATATTGTTTCGTCTTTTTCTCAGTTCAACCTGAATTGATTCTCTGATCAAACCTCATAATTTTCTGCCACTGTCAAAAGTGTCTACATATTATGATATTCTACTTTTTTCCTTTCAGTATATATTTTATTCAGTTTACTCCCTGTCTTGGATTAACCCGGAATCTTCTCTATATTATCTATCTTATTATATTTTCCTAAAAAATTGTCATTATTTTATGCAAATATTCAAATCTCTAATCAGTCTGGTTTTTAAAATGGATAAAAAATTATGATAAAAGAAGGTCGATACGCAGTTTCCATCGACACTAACACTGGATTTGCACGTGTCTTCCAAATATTCCATCTGTTGTTTCATTTTAATTTCTAATATGGGCAAAAACAAGAACATTCTCTTAGAACCATGTTCACAGTTACCTCAAAAAGTCTAGCAGGAACAAAATGCTTGGTGGACAATAGCAGAAAAAATTTACTAAGAATACAGTACAATAGCTTCATTTCTTAATTCTCTCTCTTTAAAGTGGGTTTATATTGAAACGGCGAATTTGTTGCTTCAATTTCAGAGTTAACGTAAAGCCGGTGGAATCAGTAATTTCTTTTGCAATGCATCTTAAAAAGAACAAGAACATATTCAGTCTAAAAATATTTTTCAATTGTCGGATCTTATTGTAAAAATATTTATACTTTAAATATTAACATGATATAAATCTATTTCATCTTAATTATATGGTATGCTGAAATAATCTTGGAAATGAATGTCCAGTCTACAATAATACTGCAATTTACCATATCGTAAAGACAACATTTCTACCTTTTTGCATGAAAAATGCCGACGGAAACCCCGTACAGACCTCCAATAAAATATTTCTTTTGAAATTTTGAACAAGGTTCGTTGCATGCATTTTAGCCTTATTTATACTATTATACGTAGGACAAAAAAAACCCATGGACATTGAATGCGAGACATCCAAGCTCCTCTGCAGCAGGATGGAAAACAATGCTTGCGAATTACCATCCAGTGCCGATATGAAAGAGCCGCTGAAACCCTTCCCTCCCACTGACGTTATATTTGAGGTAGAAGGAAAAGACATACACCTTAATAAACAGACGTTGATGGAAAGGTCCCCCGTATTTAAGACTATGTTTGAATCTGACTTCATTGAAAAAGGAAAAGAAACAATACCTCTGCCAGGAAAGAAGTATGAAGAATTTGTGAATTTTTTATACACTTTTTATAACCCCGAACTGGTGGCTCCAATAACCGGTAAGTGTTACTCTGGGTTAAATCATTCTACGGTCATGTTGCTTATACCATTGAGGTAACTCTGGACCATAACGACACAATAAAGATAATAAAAAGCAAAATACAGTAAATATTGGTTATAAGGATATCACGAATACACCGAAATTTCGACGAGATTCTTATCTTACAACCGAGACTTTCTCATGAGTGAGATGATGAAATCCCACATGCCCCTAAAGAAATTATTAAAAAATTCATGGTTTTGCACCTTCGCTTTCACATTTTAGTATCTCATTATATGATCAAGCATATTGATGTTGTTAGGATAGATCCAGTCTGATTCAATTGGACTTTCGATTTCGATTACTATACGTCATCTTCATTTCTCATAATGAAAACAAATTTTTCAAGTTATTTGATATATTAAAAAGAATCAGCGCAAAAAATAAAATCAAATCAAAATAATAAAACTAAGTTTTAAAAAAAAACTCACGTACACACTGAACAAATTAACACTCTCTGCACCATGCATGGAAAGACAGGAATTCAAACACGGTAATTTAAATAAATTTAAACGTAAAAATGTAATTTTCATCTTCGATAAACAAGACTTTAATTCCACACTCAATGTACTTTTGTACTTAATTATGCTTTATAATTGATAGTATATATTTAAATTCCATTGTTGAATCTACACTAATTATGCATACTAGAATATGAATTTTGTACAAAGAGGGGTTGAAACAGAAATGTGCATGCTAAAAATCACAGGATTGATCCTCCTTAAATGACAGTTAACATCATTCATTTACCTTATTACCATTCTATTTTAGAGATGGATTATGTAATAATAATAAAACATTACCACAAAAAAGTTCTTATTTCAGTAATAAACTTGCAAGTTAAAGAAATGTATCAATAATTTTCAGAGAAAAATGTACTGGTGGTAGGATCTCTGGCAGATGAATACCAAATCATGGACCTCAAAGATAAGTGCGAGTCATTTATCTTAGACCATTGCAAACAAGTATCTGAAAACAGGGGGATCCGTATTGATGTAGAAACTCTGCTGGATTATGCTACGTACGCCGAAAATCACAATATGACTTCAGCCCTTTCTCTGATTATAAAACTTTGCTCAAAACACAGCACCGAGTCTTTGAAAAAGGCAAATCTTGAAGCAAAGGTTTCGGCTGATACACACCGACAAATTTTGGATGTTCGATGCTCTCTCATGGAACGCCAAGTAGCAACCTCTGTAGAAAAAGGTAACTATTCAACTATAAGATGTTGATTTGTGTTATGCTTGACCGGATGTGGAAATCTTTCTGAATTAAAAAAAGGAGATAAAGTGTACATCCTGATTTATATCATTTCTTTCATTTCAGGAGAACAAACTATTTCAGACTTAATGGAATTTGCCTGGGAAACTCAAGATTATGATAAAATGAAAAAATGCGAAGGGCGTCTCGTGGCTATTTGCGAAAAGGCCAATAAAGATCCGCCTGACATTGGAGCACTTACCAGGGTGACAATTCTAGATTACATAATTGCTGCTGAAAGATTCAACCTGACACGTCTCTTGTCGTCTGCGATCGAAGTAGCCTCTTCATGCAATTCTACGCCATTGATAAATGAAGATAAATATAAAGATATTTCAAAATCAACACAGTACGAAATATGTAAAGAGCGCGTTTCTCTCCTTGAACAAGTATGTACAATAGAAAGTAAATATAACTTATTTAAACCACCTGAATATCGCCCTAGATATAAAAAACGTAAGTGGTTTTATTAAGGTAAAGCCATACTCGTTGACGTCATATTGCAAAAATCGAATTGCAACTATTGTGCAAAGCCCCCCCCCCCCCATTTTTCAAATCGATTTTAGATTCCAATGCTATATTCTCTCCAATAATAATGGGAAGTGGGTACTTTAAAGATATATCTAAAAAAAATGACTCAGTGCTTTAGAATTATGCAGAGATCCACAAGTACATCTACCTGATGAAGAGGTTTTGATCTGTGTAGAAGTGAATTATTGTCTTGATAAGCTGAAGTCTTTGACATGACTTGATTTTTGTGGAAAAGAAATAATCGATGTCTTTAAAATTGTTTAATGTATTAGAAATGTGGTTTTTTTAAATTGTCATATTTAAAAAAAATTCAAAGTGAAAAGCTTGATTGCTCTCCATGTATTTCTTTTATGTCTTTATTGATGATGCATGCAGATGCCGACATGTGTGATCCATAAAACACTTTAGTTAATGATAACTTAGTTGGAAAGGTTTTCATTTGACAACAAATACAAAAGTTCTAGAAAAAACAAACTGTAGAACTTGTAAATAAATGCGATTATATTTCAGAAACAATGACCAAGTTTAAAGTTTTTGAAAACTAGGTCAAACTTTAAGGTCAAGATCATAAGATCAAAAATCACAGTGCATTCTGAGAGGTTTGTCAAAAGCAATTCACAGCTTTATAATAAAAGCCCTTTATCTTCTCATTCGGAAAACATGATAAAGAATAAAGTTTTTGAAAAGTAGGTCAAACTTCAAGGTCAACGTCAGGAGGTAAAAAATCATAGTGTATTTAGAAAGGTCTTGTCACAAGTAATGCAAAAATTTAATATGAAAGCCTTATCTTTTCTCATTCAAACGTTATGGCCAATTTAAAGTTATATTTTTTAAAAGTATGTCAAAGTTCAAGGTTAAGGGGTCAAAATCATTGCGTATTTAGAAAGGTCTTGACACAGGTAATATATGCACATGCTTAATATTGAAGCCCTATCTTTTCTCATTAAAAGTTATGGCAAATTCAAAGTAATGTTTAATTTTTTTTAATTAAGCCAAACTTCAAGGTCAGGATCACGGGGTCAGAAGTCATAGTTTATTTAGAAAGGTCTTTTCACAAGTAATACACGTATAATATGAAAACCCAATCTCTTCTCAATCAAAATGTATGACCAATGTCAAAGATTTTGTGACGGATATAACTACAAATTGACGGACGGTGTGTACATTAATTTTACTTGCTAACATATATAGTAAACAGTGCTTTTGCCATTTAAAAATGTATAAAAACCAATGGAGTCACCAAGAAATCTACCATCAACAAACGAAAATTATTTGACTTGCAAATTTTTGTCAATAATTCACCATAGTAATTTGACTTTTTATCTGATTAGCGACGAACAAGTAATGATTAGCAACAAATAAGAAAAAGTCAACCGCGTTGCGCAGTAGTACAGATCGTCTGTTCTAGAGTCGCGAAGTAAGGAGTTGATCCTTTCGTCGCGGGTTCGAATCCCACTCTGAGACACGGAGACCGGTCGTATAAACTGAGGTCCCGTGTCGCAGTAGGCTTTGGCATGAAAAAGATCCTCATTGCTCACTGGTCCTAACTGACGAGCGTAGGTCAAAATTTGCAGCTCTCCACCGACAAGTTGTGGACTGAAAAAATTCTCAAGAGGGACGTTATGCAATAGAAAAACAAACAAACGAACAAGAAAATGGTCCCTTACATAGATAGTTAGAGATGGTGCATTTCGATCATTTAGTTTCAATATTATAGTCCATTTGTATTCCAACAGTCTAAGGGGAATAAAAATAACGGGTAAAGTATGATTGAAATCTGAATGAAGCACACACAGAAACAAAGAAATCAAGTTAAACGGTAACTGCGAAGCGACGGCGGACGGATATATGTCGGAAATGTTAACAAAAAAGGTTAAATCTTCCCTAGCCAGGGATAGCGAAAAGTACCTCAGAACCAAAACCTATATACAACCAGAATGATCCTGGGGTTGAGGAGACATCTGGTGGTCAAAATCCTGATGAGGAAGCGGGGGCAGTGGGTGGGGAAACTGAGAATGACCAGGGCGGTCAGAGAAAGAACATTACTATAGAAACTGACATCACAGTGGAGGTAAAAAATGTATCGTATAAAATGTACCAGTAAAGAAATTCAAAGAGGGTTTCATCCTATTGGTGTAATCACCAAAAGCAAGTTTTTGACTGTTTATGATGACACATTTATTGTTTATTCAAGCTTACCTATCATTTGTCCGAATGTCAAAATTGCAAAATATGTAAATCGAAGGACCGAACACATAGGTAGTCGACTTGTGCCAGATAGAATAAATATAATTCTATTTTTCGGCCGCCACCAAAATAACTGGATGCCGCCAGATAAAAAAGATCTGGTGGTCGCCGTATACCTTATCTGGTAGCCGCCAAAAAATTACTACTAGTATCTAGCGGTCGCCAGTTAACCTTATTATTTGACGGCCGCTAGATGAAATATTTTCTACCTGGTACCTACTGGCTTCCGTTCAAAAACATGACAAACTATTGAAATTTCAGAAATTTCCAAAAATATGGTATTGTGATTAAGTAAATTGTTGAATATAAAGAATAAATAAAATGGTCCGTTGAAGTAAACGATCAAAACTTTTTGTTTTTGTATCATTTTGCACATTAATAAGACTACTTTATTATATGTGAAAATAATAATAAAAAAAATGCATATGAAAATAACTAATATTTCCTAAAAAATCAAGAAAAACAGAGAATATTCGGATTAGCCAATATCCAGTTTAGTTGAATTTTTAAATTAAATTTGGTAATATCATGCTATAGACCTGATATAGTAATATGTATTTATGCAAAAAGAAGAATCTTTAAACTTTTGAAATAGAAGTAGGTATTACATGATTGGCAACAGTATTTTTTATTCTTAATGTTAAGGAATAAGATAATGAACTTGACCTGACCTGGCCTCTAATATTAAACAGTCAAATTTAATCTCACTGATGCTATCACTTACTGATATTGTCTTCTTGATTCTGTAAAAATTTCATTAATTTCTAAATATTAGAAATATGAGAAGAATCCTACCTTAATTCGACACTCAAGAGTCTATTTTACGTTCGAACAATTAAAACGAGGCAAGCTCAAAAACTTGAGTTTCTGAATGAAAAGAAACAAACGGTCTCATTAAAGTCAACATTTCACAAGTTCTATGTGTCGATAAAATTACCTTATCAACAATTATTTTTTATCATTAAGTCAAATGCTGTCTGACATTTGTCATACAAATTGTTAGGCCAGTATTTACACAATGCATTGTCTTTTTTGTCCAATCATAACAATGATCACAGAGGATTACGATCGGTCGGCAGAGAACGCTTACTCCTTCGTGACAATGATCACAGAGGAGTACGATCGGTCGGCAGGGAACGCTTACTCCTTCGTGACAATGATCACAGAGGAGTACGATCGGTCGGCAGGGAACGCTTACTCCTTCGTGACAATGATCACAGAGGAGTACGATCGGTCGGCAGGGAACGCTTACTCCTTCGTGACAATGATCACAGAGGAGTACGATCGTTCGGCAGGGAACGCTTACTCCTCCATGACAATGATCACAGAGGATTACGATCGCTCGCCAGGGGATGCTTACTTCTCCATGACAATGGTTTTACCTCTGTTGTTTTAGAGGATCATGTTTGTACTACTTTCGATTTATAGTGTTTAAATGGACTTATGCGCTTGATAACTGTTCATTATCTCTAAATTTTATCATATAAATGTATTATCATTTTATATAATTCTTTACAAAATTGATCATATTTGTATGAACTATTTTCATCTAAATGGATAATCATTTTTAAAAATTTTCTTTTGACTGAACTCCTGATTGCCTCGACAAATATAATAATATCATTTTGAAATATCTCACAAATTTCTGATGACTGATTATTTATTTCTGACCTCTAATCAATGAAAATGGTAGGGATTTAGGGGTGGTTTCAATTGCTTTTTGCACTTTCACACAACTTTTTCATTTTAATTCACCATTTAATTATGACATTCTTTTTCTGACTGTTATTTTTTCGTTTTGATGTCATTAATTTCATTGAAGGAAGTATATTGTATTTATAAAAGAAAAATTAACAACCATCACATGAGTACTGTTGACTAGACAAACCAACTGTAATCTGTATGCATTGATCAGGTACAATGAAAATTCCGTAGCAAAATGTATTATAACATCCAAAGACCTAATCATTGGTATGGAATACATGTATGTCAGTCAAATTTAAGTTAGAATTGCCAACTAGATCACAATATAACGACCTTAGAATTTTCTAAATGCTGTTGTTAAACGGAAGGTGTTAAAATATATGTAAAATAAAAGTATTGTTCAGAAACTAATATTGATTTAAAAATTGATCATTGACATGCTCTTGCGTAGCAATTCAGATAGGAAACAAAACTTGCATTAAAGTCATCATTTTGCAAGTTTTGTGATCGATACAATTATCTTGTAAGCAAGTACAATCTATCATTATGTCAATTGCTGTCTAACATTTTTCATATCAATCATTAGACCATTATTTACGCACTGTATTGTCGAAGGGTTTTTTCTTTTGCCTGATCATGTTAAAAAGCAAACAGCGATCGTGACTAGTCTGCATGGAGGTACAGAATTGATAATATATATAAGAACACTTTCCTTGTGCTCATAGGTAGTACCCTTATGTTGTTAGAGGCACTAACATGTGCCGATCGGGAGTTGAGGGTAGAGTGGTTGTCGTTTTCTTTAAGGGCAACTTGTTGAAATAACCTGTTCTTTGGTTGAATTAAATGTTGAGCTAAATATTCATATCGTAAAAAAAGTGTCCGTACATTGTTCTGGTGTAAAAGTAAAATGTCAGCTGTAAAAGTAAGCGCTACTCGTATAAGCCCACTTACCTCTCGAGAATTTTCACTCAGACGCCACCACTTGCCTTTGGAACGCTAAACTCTCTACTCTAGATCAGACGCTCTTACTGCATTTGCTCTAGAGAAGACGTAGTGCACAACGGGAACTATCATTGAATGTAAATTTTGCATTAAATTCAAAACTCTTCTTTCTGTCAACATCTTTGAAAAATCTATACAATGCTCTTATTAAAAAATCGTACATAAATAACTAAATGAGATCAATACACACGGCTCACGGCGGGTTTGAGAAGGGACAGGTGATGTGTGCTCGCCCTAGGCACCTTATTTCCTTTCTGGAATTTCTAGTATATATAAAAAGTTTATATTAAAAGATCTAACAACTTTAAAATAGGATTAAATTTATTCTTATTTTTAAAGAAAAAAAAACATATCATTGAAACATCAAACAGGAAAGCCTTACACAATTATTCATAATTCCCGGGAGCCTGTTGTTACTCTCAATATTTCTTATTTTAGTTTTAAAGAAGGAAATAAATGTAACTTTCTTATTTTGACATTATTAGCTATGATATTCTAAGCAGATAAATTAATATGTCTGATGTCACATTCTATATATCTGTAATAAACTTATCGTATTTTGTTATAGTTTTGGTTATATTTTGATGCTGATTTTCCTCCCCTATACTTATCTAATTCATCCTCAAACAATTCCATTCTCTTTTCAAGTATTTTAGTTCTAGACGATTCTGTCATTCTTTGGTATCTTTCATCTTTTATCAATTTCTTATAACTACATCTAGATGCAAGGTCAATCGCTGCCATCAAGAGATTCTTCAGATGAAATCTTTCAGCAGCAATGATGTATCCAATAAGATTGTGTAGGGATATAGCAGAAGGCTGTGATGAATTCGACCCCAATTGGTGCTTACAAGAACAAACAAGGCTATCCTCGCATTTTCTTTTCTCCGTTGGATTGAGAGAGTCCCACATCAAAACTGCAGTGTTTAAAAAATCTTGCTGTGAGTCTAAAGAGAAAATATCATGCAGATAACTATCCTTATCGCACCTATTGCGGTTTTTTTTTGGGGGGGGGGGAAATTATGCTAAATAATCATGATCAATACAATAATTAAATAATCATGCAAGTTATAATACCTGCAACAAAGTATGGTTTCAATTCTTTTTCCAGTAAAGAATTTCGACATTCCGAAATACTTTTTGTAAATCATCAGTAAGCTTATTCTCCATTCCTGCTAGCTTTAAAGACTCCGTAGGGCACTCTGCACATAACTGGATGGCAGAAGGAAGTACAGATTCCATGTTGAATTGTTCAGCACAAGCAGTGTATTCCACAAGAGTAGAGATCTCGATTTGTTTATCCACATCTCTAGCGGTGCTTTTACAAAGTTTTTCGAGAAATTTCTCGCATTGTTTCTTTACCAAAGAAATCTGATATTCTTCAGCCAGTGGAGCAATCCTCAATACTGTATTTTCTGGAAAAATAACATTGTTCGTAATAGCGTTAGTGATATTAATACTATTTTATTTTCTATTTTCATGGTAACGGAGAATTTCATTCTAAAGATGTTAAAGATAATGATCAATCTCAGCATAAATAATACAATTTTAAAAATAGCATTAACAAATGTATAATTATTATTGTTAAACTGGTAAAACAAGATGTGTATGTGATAAAATGAAACCCTCGTATTGTAGCTTTTTGTGAAGATTAAGATTTCTCAAATGCATGTAATACTCAAAAGTCAAACAAAAAGGTTAAAAATGTTGTTACCCAAAGAAAATAATTGTCTCCATAATACGCCTGTAAAATATGAAAAGTAAGGCAAAAACCGTTCAAAAGTTATATGGCAAAGGATAAAACCTTCTCTTTTTTTTTAAACAAAAATGGGTCAAACTCCTAAGTCAAGGTCAAATAAAAAAAAATACATGACTCTAGCATCAATGTACGAAAGTTATGTCCAAGGTTTCAGTTTTTCAAAAGTATATAAAACTCCAAGGTCAAAAGATTAAAAGTGGCTCAAACTCTAAGGTTAAGTCAAAATGTAATTTTTTACCAAATGAAACGTCCGAGGTTAAAGTTTGGTTGATTTTTGCAAAAGTGGGTCAATGTCCAAGGTCAAAAGTTGAATTTTTTTGTATTGAAGAAAGGTCTCGTTACAAAATATACAAAGCCACAGTCACAAATTCCAACCAATCAAAAGTTACCAGAAAGGTTTTAAATTTTTTCGAACAAAAAGCTAAAAAGACGGATATTTTAAAAACTATATAAATAATGATTACAACGACTTAGCTAAATGGCGTGCTTTTTCTTGATAAATGGATTTAATGTAAGCAAAAGGATAAAAACTTAATTGATTAAGAAAGTTAATCTACAGTAGGGTTATGTCAACTTTAATACATTACATCTATACTCTTCCATAAAACATCAATCTAATTGTGTACATGTGTTCTTTTTACATTTCTGTCTTAACCCATACAAGCACTGTTTTTTTTTCATATCTTAATAACTTTCAAGGAGACCTTTATACGCTGAAAATACCTGTTACAGGATCCAAACGTTCTGGATAATAAAATGTGTATAGGAAGTACACAAAGTCGTCATATTTCTTTCCTGGCAATTGAATCTTGTTTTTGTGTTTTTCGGTGAAATCCAACTCAAACATGGCCTTAAACACAGGTGAGTGGTCAGATAACACCTGTTTGTTGACGTGTATATCCCGACCCTCTACTTCCAGTATGACATTGGTAGGCATAAAATGTAATTTTGGTTTATCTTCTTCCTGTTCAGTGACACATTCTTCTGATACACACGCTTCCTCCTGACACAACTTTGGTATTTTGCTTTCAGTCGCCATATTTCTTTAAACTTTATAATGTTCTACTAATCTGTCTTTTTCATTTTTAAAACAATAAAAGAAGGAAAGACTATAAACAATTTATAAAATTTATCTATTATACATTTTTATTTTATAAGAATTATATCTAAATTTACATGTTTATTGTTTATACAGGTATGGAAAATCTAAGCTAAAATATGAAAAGAGATGAACTGTAGATGTACATGATAAATGTTATTTACTTTTAAATATAAATTCAGACCAATTTTGAAATTGTAACACCAAGTTCGTTTCTAAAGTTTAATTGACTTAATTTTATTCTGTTTACTAAATGTAAAGTCGAAAAATAATTGGGTTATTGTTTTAAATTTTTGATATCTATATTTTACATAAAAAGCCCTTTCTTTACATAAAATAATTAGAAAGACCTTTTCAATTTTGACTATCTGATGTAATTGTTCTTCAATACATGACTAATATTGACTAAAATTAATTTATATTTTATTCGCCTTCTTCATTTTAAACAGACAACAGGTTATAGCCTACATTAATTAATTTCTTTGTTCTCCACCTGAAACCCATTCCCACTTAGCCAAAACAGATTTACCTGTGTTTTACCTGTATTTTTTCAAATTGTTGGCTTAGTGGAAAGACACTTTCACAACGTCGGTAGGAAGGAAAAGTACTTGCAGCTCACCTTCTTCCTGTTCAGTGTATTTTACAATAGTATCCGCTATCGTGTGTCCATCTTTCAGGATTGCCTTAAGGTATAGGTTAGATCATATGCATATCTCACTGCACTGCAGCCTGAATTGTAATCTTTAGATAAAGTGCGACTTAGGATCACTTGTATCCTGAAGTTTTTACCTGATAGGTTTTCTATACAATTTAATTTTGAAAACTTCCCTTTAAAAAAATCAATATTTGTTCAATTATTGTACAAGTTTGAGGTTCAACTGATGAATAAAAATTGTTTCCTTGAGGAAAAAATTAAAAACTACATATTAAAACTTGCATAACATTGCTATTTTTTTTTTACATTAACGTTAAAGATAAAGGAAATGATGCATAAAAATTCCATTCTAATAAATGAAAAATATCCTTTGGTTTTCTCTTCTGTTTGAAAAATAAGACCAGTGAACGTAGTCTTTTTACTATTGATATCGACTCTGAAAAGACTCAACTTACATGTAGGAAATATCCCAGGTGTCTATACTAATATAAAATATACTTTTTTTCCTTTTCATTTTGATTTCCCTGAAATAAAAACAAAACATTTTCTGTTGAACTCAAAGCTGAAGACTGCACGGTAAGGCATGCTCATATATTCATTCTTAACCTTTGGTGAAGCGTATATTTAAATGTCTTTAAAATATCACCAGGATCACCACAATAGTTTTAGAAATAAAAAAAAACCATTTTCCTTTTTAGTAGATGTGCTTTGCATTTATTTTTAAATCCTTTAAGCAAGCTCGAAAGTTCACTGATGTAATGTACAGTTTTAGCTAAGTGCAGGTCTGTAGCATTATGGTTTTATATACATGTATTAGTCTTCGACCACTTTTAAGAGATATTCCCCACTTTCTAACATTGGTCAATTACTAGTAACTATCTTTCACGCCCTAATTCTATACATATTCTGTAGCCAATACGTATAATTTATCTACCTTCCAAGCATTTATAATTGTCTCTACAGGCAATAAACTCATTTGAAGTGTATTTTCATCTACATGTATTTAAAAAATAATTTTAATCAAGCGAGTTTATCACTTGTAGAGACGACTATAAAGGTTTGGGAGATGAATAAAATATAGAGATTAGTTAAATTATGTGCTTAGAATTATGGAGTGAAAGATAGTTCATTGACCTTTGCTGGAAAGTAGAGAAATTCTCTCCAAAAAATGCGCAAAATATATTGCACCGCAAATTGCATATTTATTGCATTACGGGATCTGTAGCTTTATGGTCAAAGACTAATGTATTAAACTATAACGCTACAGAACTGCAGCTACCTATAACTATGCATTACATCAATACACTTCCGAGCTTGGTTTGTGTTTTTTTTATCTTCATATTAACTACATATGTGTAATAAAGTTTTCAAATAAGATTAATCTTTGCTAGAACAGTGTTTCTTAAAAAGAAGATTTTTATTATCAAATTTTCATTACTTCTGAAGTATTTTTCCTGAAGAGACCTGCCCATTCTTTTGAACAAATTGAACTTACCTCCTTCTGTCAAGAATGCTTCGTGGCATGTTTGGTTTAAATAGCTTCAGCTATTTTTGAGAAGACGTAGGAAAACCCCTTTGACAGAAGTGAGTCACTTTTTTAAACTACAGAAATATATTCATATATACAAAAATAAGCATGGTATATTTAGTTATAACAAAATAACTATTTTTATTTAGGAGTAGATATTAATTAATGAGATTTTTTTTAGAAATCAACATTGTTGAATAAAAAGAATAGCATATTAACATATTATACATAGTCACAATTGTAGATTTCCTGAATAACATAATTTTTCAATTCAATTCACTTTATTCACAATTACCATGTCATGAACATTAATAACATAACACAAATCAAAACAATTAATACATGCATATACAAAGTTAGAAATATAAGGTGAATAAAATTGTGTATTTCTCAATATCAATATTCATTTTTGACTTTCTTTTCTGGTGTCAAAGCACTTTTTCAAGAAACAACATATCCTTCTAGCAGTTGAAATATTTGTAGGATTGACAATTTTTCTAATGGGGTTATCGCTAAAATATAATTGCTTCTATATTCGTCATACTTTGGACAATAAAAAACAAAATGTTTTTTGTCTTCAACAAACAATTTACATGAATAACATACACGTTTTTCTCTAGAAATACGGGGTTTACAGTACCTACCCGTTTCAATATACAGTGGATGGGCACTGATCCTTAATTTTGGTAATAAAGGTCTACAGCGTTTTAGCTCACCTGAGCCGAAGGCTTAAGTGAGCTTTTCCGATCATAATTTGTCCGTCTGTCTGTCCGTCTGTAAACTTTTCACATTTTCGACTTCTTCTCAAGAACCACTGGGCCAATTTTGACCAAACTTGCTACAAAGCATCTTTGGGTAAAGGGAAATTTAAATAAAGGGCCAAATCCCCTCACAAGGGGAGATAATCAAGAAAAGACAAAAAAAAGGGGGGTCATTAAAAAATCTTCTTCTCAAGAACCACTGAGCCAGAAAAGCTGAAACTTATGTGGAAGCATCCTAGGGTAGTGTAGATTCTAAATTGTTCACATCATGACCCCCGGGGGAAGGGCGGGGCCACAATGGGGAATCAAAGTTTTACATAGAAATATATAGAAAAAATCTTTGAAAATCTTCTTCTCAAGAACCACTGGGCTAAAAAAGCTGAAACTTATGTGGAAGCATCCTAGCGTAGTGTAGATTCTAAATTGTTCAAACAACGACCCCCGGGGGAAGGGCGGGGCAACAATGGGGAATCAAAGTTTTACATAGAAATATATAGGAAAAATCTTTGAAAATCTTCTTCCCAGAAACCACTTGGCCAGAAAAGCTGAAACATATGTGGAAGCATCCTAGCGTTGTGTAGATTCTAAATTGTTCAAACCACGACCCCCGGGGGAAGGGCGGGGCCACATTGGGGAATCAAAGTTTTACATAGAAATATATAGGAAAAATCTTTGAAAATCTTCTTCCCAAGAACCACTTGGCCAGAAAAACTGAAACTTATGTGGAAGCATCCTAGTATGGTGTAGATTCTAAATTGTAAAAATCATGACCCCAGGGGAAGGCGGGGCCACAATGGGGAATCAAAGAAAAATCTTTGAAAATCTTCTTCTCAAGAACCACTGGGCCAGAAAAGCTGAAACTTATGTGCACATCGAAGGATCCTGGGGTAGTGTAGATTTCAAAATGTCTAAATTATGATCAGTGGGATAGGGTGGGGATGCATTATATATTACAAGTGGGAAATCTGGTAAAGAACAGAGTGGTCAAAGATTCTCAGGTGAGCGATGTGGCCCATGGGCCTCTTGTTTCCAAGGTAGTTTTCAGGGGGCTGACTGGGGTTTTATTTTGTTAAAACTACAATAGCAAAACTCTGCATTTTTATACCATTTATAACTTACATTAACTTTAGTGTACATGCAAAGTTTGGACGAAATCTACCGTCCAGGTATTTGTAAGGTGCCGTCTCAAAATAAAGGTACATTTATTGAAGGATTATATAGGAAAGTGCCAGTTTTTAGCACTTTAAAGCAAATTATACAAATACTACAATAGACTTTTTGTTCAAAATATAATAAATGATGGGTATTACTATATTGTATATTATTTATAAGAAACATAAAAAGCTACCGTCTTGTTACCAGAGGAGGTATCATAAAAGGCCAGAAATTAATGAATTTCCCCGTTTTAAAAGAGCTACAAAATATGACGGACACAAAGGTATTAATGGTAAGAATAATGGAGAGATTCTCAAATTTCTATGTTTTAATTTTTTTTAAGAGCGTATGTTTATAACTTTTTATTTAATAACATTTTTATTACCCCTTTCTTTAAGAGCTTTTGTTTATCATAACGTCAAAAACACACTATAGCGTCGGCAACCTACCTATCAGTTGCAAAATCGGTTAAAAATTTAATTATATAAAATTGTGATTACATTTTTAAACCTGTAATTTCTTAATTTTGTTTAATTTTATTACTCAAGTGAAAAAAGTTGCTTTAAAACAAAAAAAAATGCTTCAGTTTACTATGATGCGCGAAATATTGCGCAATGAAAACTACAGTCGGCCCTCTTAAATAACTTTGCAGTTTGTATTCATCTTGATTCACAATTTTGCTTTAAAAAAGCTAACTTTCCAGGGTCTGATTTGCTAACATTTTTCAGTTATTCATATATCTTGTTTTGGTAATGCTCTTGTAATTTGTTTTTCAAAGTTGTGTGGGATATATCCAAAGAACTGATTTTTACGAGTTGATGGACATCAACTCAGTTATGTTCTTACAAATATTGACCTAATTTTAACCAAACAACACACCTCGTTTATTCAGTTCCTTCTACGATAAATTGTATCACATCTTGAGAAACTCTACATAAATAAAAGCGAACATATATATATTGAAGACATGTAAATGTTTCTTTTTTGAAAGGAAATTTATTTTACAGGTAAACAATAACATTTTCATTGACATGCCTTATTGTGTCGGTCCGACAAAAAAGATAGTGCATTTTAAACCGCCGAAGAATGAAAGTGTATTTCGTCACTTCTCATATTCCTATATGTGCATATATGCCTTGTCGATTTTTAAATTTTTTCAAATATTGGTTAATTTTTCTGTGCAAAGTTCGTTGGGGTTTATACAAATGATATATTAGGCCTAACATAGAGATCGAACTACTTTTTCATATTCATACGCACCATGCTTCTTTGTTTTGTAAACAAAAACACGCAAAATCGACAGCACAACAGTGACTTCAAAAGAAATTGACGGGACTGTGGAGGCTTACCAGGAAATTTTTAGAAGGTACGTAAATGTAAATACATGTACATTTAAGTATAGTTGCACGTGTTGCTCTGAAATATAAACTTAGCCAGTAGTTTATCGATAGGACTTCGTATGGTACTGACCGAGTAAACATTAGCGCCACCTTGTTTTCGCGGCTTTAGGGGCCTGATTCTATATAATTTTTTTTCTTTTTGTTTTGTCCGCATAAGTAGCTTCCATTGTGGTAATGAGGCAACTGCCTCACTAGAAATATTATTTCAAGTCTTTGAAAACACACAAAACAGCAGTCGTGCGACA